GTGCCCCCAAAATGTGAGAGTATCGCTGGCAAGCAGTCCCCCAAAAATGGAGCTTCCATGTCATGCCAATGAACACTTCCACTGAGTAAGGGGAGGTGCAAGGAAGGCTCCTTGGGTTCCTGTAATGAACCTGGGGCTGGTAGGATTCAAAGCAAGTGCGTCACCCATCACACAACAGCCTGAGGAATTCTGTGCCCACCCCACCCCTCGCTTGGAGGGATGGGGGCACTGAACGCTGCTGTAGGTCATCTCGCCTTGGTTGACACGGAGACCACTTGGCTGACATCTGCCCCCACTTTCTCAATGAAGGGTGGGAATAGATTTGACATTAGCAACTCTGGCTTATATTCCCTCCACCCAAAAAACACCCGTTCCTTTTCCCCGTCAGCTTTCAGGAGACTCTTGGTGCAAACTGGCATCGCGACTGCAGTCAACAGGCCCCAATTCACACCCCTGGGCCTGCAACAGGTCGCAGTTCATAGTCCTATGCCCGCAATGCAGCAGAGACTGCCACTTGGCACTGCTTTGCCCCCGCATCTTTTCCGTTCCTCCCCCCAACACACACACATACCTATTCCGCCTTTTAACATCGTCTTTCTTTGATAACCTGGATGTTTGTTTCTTATTTTACAACCCCTTCCCTTTTGCTTAGGACCAACCAAGTCACTTTTGCTGTTTATAACTTGCTAACTGGATAGTGTGGGCATTTTTTCCACTGTTCCACATTGATGGAAATCTTATTTAGAGTACTGACGTATAGTTTGTAAGCAGCACAAACCAAAATCAAAAGTTTTATGTGTGATAGGCAAAGTGGACTGAACTGAAATATTGGAAGCAGGAACAAATTAATAGTTTGACTACTGGGATCTAAATGTATTAGGCAGCCCGTAAATATTTCGAAGTGTGGCAGTCAGCTGCATTCATTACATTTTTCTGTTCATCTGAACAGAATAAAGGCAAGGGAGTCAGAACTGTCAACACATTAATTCTATTAATTCTTGAAAAACAATGTGCTACTCAGGGACAGTCACCTCAAAAAATCTTTCCAAGTTTGACTGCTGCTTTGTCTGGCGTGAGATTCATTCCAGTGGCCCTGTTTGACTTATTTGCTTGTAATGGGTGGGGAATCCAGGACCCCTTTGGATCGGGGGTCTCTTTCAGCTCAGCTAACCTTAGCTGCTTTCCAGAGGCAGAAAGAGTTTTTTGCAGGAGTGGGGGGTGAACTGTATTTTTGTTTGGGTGGAGGGACACTGTCCTGCCTGGTCCTCAAGCTCCCGCTTGCCCACAGGTTTCTGCTAATAGCTCTTCTCTATCTTCTGAACCGCTTAAGTGGGGAGAAGCTGATGGGCCATTATGCCAACACTGTGTTTTTCCCAACATCAGAGGGACCCATCAATTATGCCTGGTGGCAGAAAGCGAGGAGTTCCCGGAAGAGCCATGGCGGGGAAGAGCCGTGGCGGGTGGGGGGGAGAGATGTCACTCCATCCTCCCTGTGCAGAGCCAGAGTGGAACCAGCCCTATGGCTGAGCATCAGCCCCACTGAATGGCCCCTGACCCCACGGTGGTTTGCGTTTTCACTTGGCAGTCCCCTTCCCTTGGAAATGCTGTGGGTTCCCCTCTGGGCCAGAAGGCTGTTTTATTCCCCCTCCCCCCCGCGGCTTCATTGGGTTGGCTGTCTGAAGATGGAGAAAGGGTTCTTTGGGAAGCGGGGAGGGGGGAGGGTCTGCTGGGAAGATGGGAAGTCCCAGGCGCTGTCATAGGAAAGCATGTTTGGAAAAGCTGACTCCAGCCACTCACCCAACCCTCTCCTCTCTATCTGCACCTGAATCACCAACTGTCAGTCGAAACCCTGGAGGAGCCAGGGTAAATGGAGAGGCAGCAATTGGGGGCCGGGGGCCCTCCTTCCTCCCCAGGCCCGATCTGACCACCTGCAGGCAGGCTGCCCTCCCCTCCTCCACTTTACGCCTCTCCTGGTAAGGGTGAGAGAGGACCTGCAGCTGGGCAAGGAAGTGCCCGGCTCCAGCAGGGTCCCCTCTGTTGCAGAGGTCGAAGGGGTCTCCTGTTTTTCAGAGTTGTCGAGAACCAGGCTGGGCTGGTGAACCTGACTGGGGAGGACATGAAAACCCCCCGCGAGCTGAAGAATCTGTGAGTTTCGGGGGCTTGGCCAGGCCAAGAGTGTTGGGTGGAGGGAGGGCTCTGCCCAGTGGCATCCTTTCACACAGCCCTCCTGACCAGGAAAAGCCGGGTGCCCTGTGCCCCTTGGAGGCAGCGCACAGGGACAGGAGAGCCTGTGACCTTTGTGGCTCCCTGTTGTGGCCCCTTCTGGGGGAGGTACGACCTTATTCCTTTCTTGCAGGACCATTGCAAGGACCCACCTGACGTTCATTGCCCCGGATGCCTTCAAAGCCAGCCCAAACCTGACTCATGTGTGAGTGCTGGGAATTGGGCCCCTCCTGGCTGGGGGCTGCTCGGATTTCCCTCCCCTGGCACCCTGTGGGCCTGCAGAGGCCCCTCCCGCCAGCCCTTGGAGCCCGTGGACGGGGCAGTCATGGAAGCCCCTTCAGGAAGGGGAGCTCAGCTCCGGCAGATGAATCCCCGGCAGCCTTGACAGTCCCGGGGGGCCTCCCTCCCCCTCCAGGTCGATGTCTCCACTTTGCCCCTTCCCCTCCGTTCATTAACGGCTTGGCTGGAACACGATTAATCATTGTTAGGGTTAATGTCCCTCTGCAACCCAGAAGGATCGATGGATTCCTGTTCAGCACGGCCCTCGCTGCCTTGTGGCAAACATCCCTTCCCTTCCCTTCCCTTCCCTTCCCTTCCCTTCCCTTCCCTTCCCTTCCCTTCCCTACCCTTCCCTTCCCTTCCCTTCCCTTCCCTACCCTTCCCTTCCCTTCCCTTCCCTTCCCTACCCTTCCCTTCCCTTCCCTTCCCTTCCCTACCCTTCCCTTCCCTTCCCTTCCCTTCCCTACCCTTCCCTTCCCTTCCCTTCCCTTCCCTACCCTTCCCTTCCCTTCCCTTCCCTTCCCTTCCCTTCCCTTCCCTTCCCTTCCCTTCCTGCCCAAGCGGGTTTGGCTGTAGAGGGCAGCCCCTTGCCCTTGGCCGCTGGGTGGAAGCAAAGCCAAAGCGACTGGATTGGCTCATACTGGGCAAGCCCCAGGGGCGAGGGGCAGCACCAAGGCCAGAGGGAGGCGGACAGCTTGGCTCCAAAGGGCAGAAGCCATTGCTTCAGTTCATGGGCTTTGCTGTCCAGCTGGCCCTCAGCCTCCCTCGGACCAGACACCCCGTCACCCCAAGTGAGGG